CAGTAAGACTTCAATGGAGCGACCTTTCTGCAACTAGGAGCCTTGGCAACACACAGTCGCCTCTGACAACAAGCAGCGCTGTGGATGATGATGGCACAGGGTTGTGATGTTGAACCGCCTCAGTGCGCGCTGCCATGTACTGTGCACACACACACACGCACACACACGGCTGGCGTCAGTCTGGGACAGAAACATATGTGATGATGATATGGTTCATGAGGAAGAGAGTCATACTGGTGAAGTCTACGCTATGCCTCCCTCGTGTTGTGTAACGGAGACAGTCTGGACTATGTTCTTCTCCTTTTGAAGCCGGCTGGCTGCGGATTCTCAAATAAGAACGCAGCAGAAGACGACTAGAGGGCAGGAAGATGAGTCGAGCATAAACGCAGCCTTTGTCACATTATTCACCCAAATGAAATGTTGAGTTTGCGTATGCTTCTTTGAGAAACGGAGAGAGGATGGTGTGTGTTAGAGAGCTGTGCGTGAGTGTGTGTGACCGAGGGAAATTGTTACACAGTACATTAGGCCTGTTACCTAATGCTCGCCATCCTGCCTGCCCTCTTCCTCCTGCTCATCCTTCTCCTGCCTAAAAACACTCGAGAGGAAAGGGGAGAAGACAGGAAAAAAGGGCTCGATTCCCCACAGACAGACAGGTCAGGACACGCCGCACAGTGCCATCTTTTACCGATCTCGCTCACCTTCCTGTGGGCACAACAAGGGCTTTTCAAAGTGTGTCTTTACTTCATCCTTATCCAGGTCATACAAGGGCACTGACCGTACCTCCTAGCTATTACACACAAGTATGCACATACGCAGGCATACAGTGGCAGTCCTACGCATTCACTGTATTTCAGCGAGCTTATCAAAGCGGGCAAACACTCACAAGGAAAAGATTGTGTTAGAATATCCACTCAAATATTTTGTGGCGATTACAAAGGCTGACACAGTTACTAAATGACAGACAGAACGTTACAACGTTAGCACTCGTCATTCACCTAGTGGACAGCTAGGACCAGGGAGGTTTTATCTAAGGGTGCCCACATTGACTGGCAACTGATTGTCATCGGCCGATATTTGCTTCAAGTAGACAGATCGGCAATCTCTACAGACACAGATCAGAAGAGCCGATAAAGGTGATGCATTCCAAAGAAACGGAGAGAGAGAGAGAGAGAGGTTATCTGATTTCGCAGGCACGGACGAGGGAAAGCAACAGCTAGATTTTCGATAGGCGATGTCATTAACCAGCGTCCTCCACGCGCGGCTCGCCTGCTGTTGTAAAAACGGAACGGCAGGTGAAAAGTCCGAAAAACCCAAGCTGTGTTTCTCGGACGACTTTAGAAAACATTTAGCCGGCCGAGAAAGTCAACAGAGCGGACACATACAGCCTGTCTGATACACCAAGAGAGAAGCAGAAAGAGGCGGGGTAAGCTGGTGTGTGTGAGACAGAGGTGTAGGTGTGTGCGCGTGTGTGTGTGTGTGGGGGGGGAGCAGATTAAAGTATTTTGTGAGTAAACACTAAAACAGTATAATAAGGTGGTGGGTTACGTAAAATTAAAACGCTGACACAAATGCTGATGAAATGCTGATGAAAGACTTAATTGACTCCAACAATTAATTGAGCATACAAAGAAAGAAAGGATGAGCAAATGTGCCATCTGTTAAGGAAGGTGGCCAGGAGGTGAAATATTATCTCAAGTAAAAGTGCATTGAAACACCAGGCGTCAAACTGTGCTGTGGAGCAACCAGTTCCATAAGCTCTTTCAAAAAAGAACATCATTCTTTCAACAACTGCATCTTTGTGCGATACCCATTAAGTAACATGTACATACATGTGTTTGCCAGCCTCTGCACAGGTATTTCATAGTTTTCATACATTCAAGTTTCATGGACATTTTACAATGAAGCTGTGCTGGAAACTCAATCAGTAATCAATGAGTGGTGGAGATGAACCATACGGTCTTTGACTTTGTATTTCTGTCTGTTGGCCAGACAAAGAAAGCTATTTGAAAATGTCACGTTGAGCTTTGGGAAATTGTGACGTGCATTTTCTCCTATTTTCTGACATTTTATTGGCTCAACAATTTATCTACCAATTTTTGAGAAATATGAAAATGAAAATCTGAGAAAACAAACTATTGGTGCTACAGCAATAATTGAAAAAACAAAAATATCCGAAGTAATAATGGTCTAGTCATTGCCTACCAAGTAAAAACAAGTCGTTTAGAGTCACTCAGAGGTAACACAAACCTTTTGTCCCTTATTGAAGGGTCATAACCAGCAACAACGTAGAGACTGAACACCGAAATGAACATTTATCAAGACAGCAGAAAAGTGTGGCCCAACTGCTTCCAGCACAGTGTCAGTGTGACAGCATCAAAACTGTTTTGACTTCCACTTTACAAGCTGGCCTTTGTCTAGAGGAGATGCACTTTCACTATTACGACATCCAGGTGCAGCACAGTAGCTATGTGCCATCAAAGCTTTGTGTTAGCAAGCATATGCACCGACGGCGCCCGCTCCACAAGAAAATGCTAAATCCACGCACAGTTGAAATGGTGCTGTGTATTGGCGAAATTCACTTCGAAACAAACTGCCTTTTAAATAGTTTCAGAAAACAACAGAGGATAAATGAGGCATAGAAAGGGCCAATCCCTTTCTGGGCTTCTACGCTGCCATGTAGAAATAAGCAGGTCCTCTTCTGTGTGACTGCACTGCAGGATATCATCCAGCTCCATCTAACAACTGAGAGAGTTGTTAGGCTATTTTTGACTGCTCAGCATTTCTCATTGGATCGTTCTAACAACCAAGGCCATAAAACAAGGCTCTGGAGCGCATCGCATCTGATGACTGATCATCCTTATTCATGACATCAACGGGCATGTAAAAGCGCACTCCTATTCTGCTCATATTCATGAGCCACTGACCGGCCCGTCAGTGACCACCATCAACAGGGACGACAAACAAGGCCTCTCTTTCACTCTGTCAGTCTGGGTTTCACTGTCATTTTGTCCTCTGCCTGTCTCTTACGCTCAGTCAGACAGCCAGACACAACCACACACACACACATCCAGACAAGCATAAACAGGCTCGCACACAAGAAATACAGCTTCATAAGCAGCTCATCAATCTCTCACTATAATGTGGCTACTGTGTCTTTGTGTTGCTCTTATAACAGATTTCACACATGCTCACATACTTTACTAGGCTGTAAATGATATCCCAGTCACAGTCAACACAGTCCGTCAAGAAACGTCTTCTGCAGTGTTGAAAAACACTACATGGCCCTCACTGACCCAAGTTTATTTTGGCCTCATGACACTAAATGCATGGTTCTCTGGGCTAAGTGGCGCAAAGTACCCAAATGACTCGTGTCTGCATGTCTGCGGGTATGTCAACAAGAGCACAGAGGTAAAGCTGCACACTCAGCTGCTTCGACACACCTTTATTTGTGCCATGAGAATTAAAGGCTCTTCATCAGTTTAAAAAAATAAAAAAACCTGATGTCTGTTAGTGTAAGCTTCAGCTACCCCTACTTGTTGTGAGTGTTCAACCAAGCTTTCATCACAAGGGACGTGCACACTGGTCCCAATGGGGATATCATCACAGCAAGGTTTCTCCTCTCATCTTATAGCAAGTATGGTCCTGAATAGGAGCAGGCTGGCATTTTAGCAGAAGTCTGATGCTGCTGTTGTCAAATGCGCCAACGGAGGGTTTTCTTATTAGTTATTTGTTTTGGCCCTGTTGGTCTTACACCACCATGCCAGCCAACAAGACATAGCAAACATATCTGGAGTGGATCAGACTACTCACAGGCAAATAAAGCTTTGAAACATGGAGGCACCTGATCCAACGGCTCAGCACAAAAGAAAGACACTACTCGGAATATTTGAACGATCCCTTCTGCTTGCAATGTCTCAAACTTCCCCTACCTACCTTCCATAAAAGCTGCAAAACTTCTGCTTGCCACAGACATTAACAGACCCATTTAAAGGAATGGTAGTTTCTTGCATGCAGATCATTTGTTGATAATATTGTCTTCTAGTAAATCATTCAATGCACTGTTATATGGCAGCCCACTCTATGCAATAGCATCCACTTACACTTAAAGTGTGTGTGTGTGGTGGCAGGTTTGAAACCACCACTTCTGCCATGTCACTGGTTTCTTGCCGGGAGCCTACATAGAAATGTAATCTAACTTAGCTGTTAACTAGTGTATGGAAAGACCACGAAACACTGGTAGACGAAGTTGAACCACAGCTTTGACAAACCGGTTAAATTACACCACGACAAAACGGTTGTATTTCACTAGAAAGACGTGAGAAACTTTTCCTGACGCGAAATTATAAAGAGATAATAGTTTGTTTATTTTAAATCGTTCTCTGTCAAGCTAGCTAGACGAAAACGCTACATATGGCTCTGCCATAGTTGCCTTTTTCTTCGGTTGCACTTTTACTTTCTATCAAGCTATCAACACTTTGGCAACCCACACCGATCAACATTAGAAGTTCACTGTTGATTTAAACTTATCCAGTAGGGTCTTGGAAACTTTTAACCCGGTGCTTTGGCATCTGCATGAAATATATGTGTCTAGCCAAACAGCTAATTAGCTAGTAAGCTAAGCTAGCTACCACAGTCGGAACGCTGTCTCCTCTTTTTCATCTTCGTCAATACCCTTCTCTCCGTCCTCTGCGCTTTGCCACACATTAACCTCGGGCCTCTGTACCTTTCCTTAAAAATACTACTACATAATACAAGTGAACCCTTATTTATCTAGTGTTAAATGTGTTTGTATCTAGTTAGTAGTTAGAGGTGATGCCCCGTGTCGAACGGACCCCCCTCCCCAAACCCAAGCAGCGGTGTCACCGGAGCGGGCTGGCCGCTGTGTCTCCGGAGCCTGAAGGCCCCAGCGTCATCCTAAATACATGGTCGAAAAGGCTTGAAATAAAACAATGACAGCTTGTAATTGTTCCCCTCTAGCGCTCGGACAGCAGCAGTCTTACCTTTGCTTTGGTAATGATGTGTGTGGCTAGTTTAACAACCGCGAAATTTCCCTTGCCGATGGTCCGCTCGATTTCGTAGTGGCCCACTCGGGCTGGGGGGGGCCTGGTGGCCGAAGTGTGGCCAGGATTGGTGATGCACCCAGGGGCCGTGCTGGCACGACCGGGGTGGCTGATCCCGGAGGATGGCTGGGCTCGGTTCTGGGAGCCCATGCCTGCGTGGGTCGGTCGGGGAGAGTGCGTAATCCCGGCCGCAGCGGACCCAGCAGCACCTCCGCTTGACACGGCCGCCATCTTCTCGCCTCTCTGCGGGAACAACAAGCAGCCTTGCGCAGCGCGGCTCGCGGGCACGCCCCCGCCCTGCGTCATTTTACGTGAAACGCTCCTCCGCAGCGCCCTCTCTAGGTTGTAACCATAGTAACGATCAGCGTAACAAATGACTTCATCCACAGAAACGTATTGTGGTTGCCTTGGCGACAAAGAAGTGCGCATTATCACTCCGGTTCCCATGATTCAGTGATTCCTCGCAAACTGCTGCACTATGTATGATCAGACGTGAGGCGTTAAAGGTATACGCCGCTCTAACAGTGCAGGGACAGCTTTAAATCACCCAGTTGAGCAAAACAAACATTCTCACGTCACAATTTCCCTCTGTCATAATGTTTGAATATGCTACACGTCACTGACGTTATGAATATGGTTTTACACAAAGGCATGTTCACAGTTTCTAGCGGTATATTCTGCAATGCCACGAAGAGGTCCGGACAATTCATGGTCATGTGTGCTGTTCATGCACACCTTTCTGTTCTGAGTCAAGCTTTCATGCAGCAGCATCTTCTTACATGGTCTCACGGTTGTTGGCAGTAGGAGGACAGCTAGCCCACCTCCCTGCCCTCAGCTTAACCTCTGGGGCTTGATTTAGGGACCCTCCATAAATGAATGACACATACTGGTGGTTTCTTGCTTTTCATGCTGACTTGGCCATATCAGTGACAATTGTGATTTAGAAAAACACACTTGTAGCACACTGTAACTCCTTTATTTTACATAAATATATTTATAGAAAATAATTATCGTTTTTACAATAGCTTCCATTTAATTTGATCCAGTGAGTCCAAATAAATACCAAAAAGTATTACTACATATATATTATTACTTCTATTATTACTACTATTACTACATAGGAAATACTTGTTCTTACTGCAATTTAGAGCTTCCTCTTTTTTATGAAAGTCTGATGGAAAATTCATAATTTCTTTTCAATAGCCAATGTCACCCTGTCTCTCCAAATCATTTTCAAACTGTTTACACTGGACACATAGCACACATCTGTACTACAGCTGCACTCCTACTGCAGTTCAAACTAAGAACATAATTATTGTTTTCCCCACAGCATTAAGTACATTTCAAAGAACATGGAAGCTCTTGCAATTAAACCTTCATTATCTTTATCACCTTAAATTGAAATAGTATGTCCATTATGTAAATTCAATTATATATATATATATCAAAAATGTATTAGTAATAAAAAAGATTTGCTACATGAGACTAATTTAGTATAATTGTTTGTAATTATATATTTTAATAATAAAATCATTTGTAATCATTTGTACACACATGCATTTGGTTCTTAGTTGTATGTGCTCCTGATCATCCATCTGTGAAAGGCGAATGAAAAGCTAATCTTCACAATAATAATATAGGAATAATAATGCTTTTGGGTGAAATAACTATGTTTTATTAAACTGACATCCTTTTAACTCTAATTCATTAATTGTTTCAAGTTTCACTTCAAGTGGGCCTTTAGATATAATATATATAAATAAAGCAAATAAAACACACTGAAGTTATAAAGACAACCAAAACCCCCAACGATAAAACACAGAAATCTAAATAATAAAAAG